AAGATTAGAAGAATTCGAGCCATAACCAACAACAACAACAACAACAACAACATCATGAAATTCTAAAACCAGGCTCGAGGATCTTATTCCAGACCATATAGAAACTTCATTAGTTTGTAGACAAGAGAGGGATCACTACAATACCCAAGAGGAGTTTTCATATACACTGACTTCTATAGTTGGCCATGAAGGAAAACATTCTTCACATCCAGTTGATAAATGGACCAAGATTGTACAACTGATAGAGCCAAAAGAACACAGACTGTAGTAATCTTGGCAGCTGGGGCAAACATCTTTTCATAATCAATACCATATTCTTGAGTATGCCCCTGGCTAACAAGACAAGATTTATATCAGCATAGGGAGCCATCAAATTTCAATTTTATGGTGTAGACCTATCTACTCCCAATGATAGAGGCATATGAGGGTGCAGGCACAAGTGTCATCCTCATGTAAAGCATGAATCTCTGCACCCGTAGCTTCTTTCCAATGAGAGCTACTATTGGCTTGCTAGTAGGTACAATAAATATCTATAGAGGATAAGGCAACAAACAAGGACTTATAGTTTAAAGGGAAGCCATAGTGGTCAGGGATTCTAGAAATGTGAGTGAACGACGAAGATGAACAAAAGCAAGAGGGGTATCACTTACAGGCACAGTTGTGGAATGATCTTGAATTAGTAGGAAGGGGGGTCGCAGGTGTAGGGACGGGAGCACACAACCACTTGCGAGAGAAGGAATGTAGTTGATCAAGAACATAGTCATACTAGGCTACTAGCTACCTCAACCCAAAAGGAAGAAGGTGCAATTGACTCCTAAAACAAGGTCCTTACAACACTAAGAACATGTCCATTCTTGTGCTTGACCACACTATTCTGCTAAGGAGCATCTAGATAGCTTCATTGAACTTGTATCCCATTAGTCTTCAAGTAAGAAAGTCTCCATTGATGTTTTCTCTCCCTGAATCTAAGCGAAGGATATGCATACAAGACTAAAACCAGACTTGTACCATGGCATGAAATAGCTGAAATGTTGGGAATCCATGTATGAAACAGTGCACTCATCAATGAATAATTCAAAATACTTGTATCCTAAATGAGAAATAATAGATACGTATCCAAACATCAGTATGTATAATTCCTAATGAAGAAGTAGCATGCTCAAACTTGTGATAAAACGACAAAGTATGGCTCTAACTCAAACAACAAGAAATACATGAAGTATGAAAAGTTTGCAAAGACGAATTTTATTTCTTATAAAACCAAAGTCAAACAAAAGCTTTAATTTTTCAGAATGAGGGTGACCCAAAAGTTTATGCTACAAGTCCCAAACATTGTTTCTTTGACCCAAAAAGAACTAGATGAGGAAGAATTGAAGATGATGACTTGACTATGAGAGATATCTTAAACTCCAATATAAACAAGTGGCCCAGCCTACGCCCCTTCCCTTTCACCTTCCCAGTGCATTGGTCCTGAATCAAGAAACCATCAAAAGAAAAAGTAAGGAAATGACCTTCATCAACAAGATGACCTACTGAAATAAGGTTTGTAGTGAGATTGGGAACAAAGAAGTCTTGGTAAGGGAAAAGCAAGTGGAGAGTGAAATCTTAAGGGACAAATCATTACTACCAATGATGCTAAGTTTTTTCACCATTGGTAGTAACAATTTTAATGATGGGTTTTAGTATAATTACTTGAGGGTTCAGGGTAGGCTCCGGTCATATGATTAGTAACTTCATAATCAATAATTCAAATAGCAGAAGAGGAACAACCAGAAAGCTCACTGGATAAGCCAATAGCAAAGAAAGCAAAAGAGATAGCAGAGGATAGGGGTGAGCATTATTCGGTTAAAACCGAAAATTTTAGTTTCGGTTTCAGTTTTTAGAATTAGAAATTCAGTTAACCGAATTAACCAAACTTTTCAATATAGCATGTAATATATAATATATAACATATTATATTTAATATATAATATATTTATATATATATATGTTATGATATATATATATATAATATAATATAGTATATATTTTTAAAATTCGGTTTTAACCGAAAATTTCAGTTTCGGTTATTTCGGTTTTCCTCTAATTCGGTTTTGGTTCAGTTTTCATTTTTCTAATTCAGTGTTTAAAATTTTGGTTTATTCGGTTTGGCTTTTAACTGAATAAACCGAATGCTCACCCCTAGCAAAGGATATCAGTTGCAGAATTTTCTCTTCACCCAAAGGTTTAGATGATTCACTTTTAATAGAAGAATCAAACTTGGTGGAAGTGATGTCAAAAGTATCGCCCTTAGTCACCTAATAATGCATGATATGATTCTTCTTTTGAACACTCTTATCTGGTTGACCAGGGCAATTTGGAATAATGTAAACATGTTTCTTACAGTAAGTTCACACATTTCTCTTCTAACAATGTGAAACAATACGATTGAACCCTTTACACTCATAGCATTGGACCATTGAAACATCCTTAGTGGCTGGTTTCTTACTTCCATGTGCAATGAAAGCAGTGTTATCCCCAGCATCAACTAGCTTTCCATCAACTCCCACAACAGTCAAAAGTCTAGTGTCCTCCCTAAGGAGTTCTCCCATCATTGAGTCCAAGTATGGATGGGTCCCTCTACTCAAGATATTAGACCTGATTATTATAATAGGAGGATACAACACAAATAGGAACTATTATAATAGGGTACATTAATAGAAGTTTGATGGTAGCCTTGAGAAATATAAGGCTAGACTGGTTGCTCAAGGTTACAAGCAAGAGTATGGGATTGACTATGAGGAGACATTTTCTCTTGTAGCTAAGATGACCACAGTCTGTCTTCTCATTGCCACCTTGACGGATAAAAATTGGGTGATTCATCAGATGGATGTAAAAAATGTCTTCTTACATGGAGATCTAAAAAAGCGGTGTATATGAAGCCTCCTGGTTATTTTGATGACCCTAATCTTGTATGCTTCCTTAAGAAGTACCTCTATGGTTTAAAACAAGAACCTTGAGCTTGGTTTGAGAGATTTTGATCCACCACTACTGATACTGTTTTCACCTAAAGTTCCTCAAACTACTCTCTTTTCACTTCTCATTGTCCCTTGGGGATTACTCTCTTCTCCTATATGTTGATGATTTTCTTTTAATTGGAGATGATTTCATCATCTGCAACAACTCCTCAAGGGATTTCTCTCTTTTTCAGCATAGAAGTTCATCATAACTCTTGTGGTGACTTTGTCAACCAGTAAAGGTATGCTATTGATTTGGTGAAGCTTGCTCACCTCACAGACTCCAGACTGGTTGATACCACTCTAGAGATAAATTTTAAGCTTAGTAAAGATGATGGTCCACTCCATAAAGATGCCGCCCTTTATTGTCATGTTGTGGAGAGTCTTATTTACCTCACTATGATGCGTACAAATATATCTCTTACAGTTCAGACTGTCAGCCAATTTGTACAGCCGCTTTTTTGCCTCTACATCATCGCTTCAGTTGTCAGCATATGATGATGCTGACTGAGCTGGTTGTCTAGATACTCACATGCCATGCCATGTCATCCATTGAAGTGGAATACCAAGCCATGCCATCAACTTGTAGTGAAATCATTTGGCTCAAGTCTCCTATGCATGGCCTTTGCCTTGATCAAACATCTCCTGTTCCTTTATTAGCTGACAATCTCAGTGCTATCAATATCTTTCTAATCCAATTTTCCATGAGCAGACTAAGCATATTGAACTGGATTGTCACTTTAATAGGGATCTCCTTCATCTCACTTCCTCATGTTTCTTCTAATCTTCAACTGGCAGATATTTTTACAAAGGCTATGACGAGCCAAACATACCTTTCTTATGGACAAATCAATGCTAGAGAGTGAAGGTTAAAGTTGAAATTTTATTTGTATCTTGTACATATTCTTTATTCCTTTTATTCTTCATTCTTTTGTATCTTCACTCTTTGTATCTCAAGGGTAGAAGTGTCCTCTATTTTATTAATATAAATACTCTTTGTTTGTGTGGTCGAACTACTGGACACACCACAAATTTGTTCACCTTCCTCTTGTTCGAACTGCATTGACAAAGAGAAACATCACAAGCCAAATCAAATAAAGAAATCAAATGAACCCGACCTAAACAACATCCTAGTATTCTAGGAAAGCCAAACAAGGGTGAAAAATAAACCAGCTCCTAAACCTATTGCTCCTTGTCAAACATGAAGTTGTAAGAAACCTTCATCACCCGTTTTTTGGGATGTACATGAATCGCAAAATTGTAATTCTGAAAGCTTTCTTTGACTTTCCGCTTTGGTGTCTCCTCGACACCGAGTGCCTGTAATCATCCTTTTTTTATCTTAATGAAAATTTTCTTTTTACTATAAAAGAAACCTTCATCACCACTTGACCATTGCCTATCCCTATCTTCATTATTTACAAATCCCCCCAACCACACATAAAAAGCACCATTTCATTTATAAAATAGGTATTGAATTCAAAATGGTGGTGGCACTCACACTACTAGAGACTCTCCAGCCAATACAAATTCTTGTATCTCTCCCATGGGACTTAGATCCCACATAATACAACTCCAACCAGAGATTTCATTCCCATATCTCCACTTGGTTATTATCCTTACAAGCATTGCCTAGAAGAAATGTTTAAAGTCTCCCTCCACCAATTTAAGTTTCTTTGGCTATGTTTTAGATTCTTAAATTTCTATTATCCAATGATCCATATTTGTTCCACCTTTTGTGATCCATTGGTGTTAATTCTTTTAAAACCCTTGTCAAATAGGCAAACTGTTTGCCTGTGTGGCCAACTTTAAATAACATAGTTTAATACTAAGGAAGCAGCAGTATTTCCCTTAGAATAAGATTGGCTCACAAAAGGAACAAGTGTTTTTATCACAAGACAGTAATCCTACCCTCAAAATTGAACATGATAAAATAAAATGAAGTTATTTATCCATATAACAAAATTGAAATTATTATAATATTAAAAGATCAACATGCATACCAACCTTTGATTTGACAGCTTAAAAGTGACTTGCTTCCACAGAGGTCCACCTTTGCCACCCATAAATGAAAAACGTGCCCTACTCTAGAAACAAACACAAATGATGTAAGAAAACAGAGGTTTTCAACATTACGAGGTGAGAAAACAAAATAACAAGTTTCATCAAATTACTAATTATTGAATATGAGTCCAGGTTGTTGAAATGTATAAGGGGCATTTTAGTCACTTGTTATATCATTGTATTTCCCCTGTTAAGAATCACTTAACCAGGGGATTTTTGTACTTTCACATATTCTAAAGAAGTGAATAACAGTGCAGGTCGACAAGGAGAAGAAACCCATTCATATCTACTTCCTTTAGACCCTTTATCTCTCTTTTCACTTTCTTCTTGTTCCCTACTGTGTAAGACAGATTCCCCTACCATTTTCCCTTCATTTCTCCCCTTTTCCCCTTTATTCTCAGGTTGTAACACAGGTTATAGATAGCTGGCTTGAAAATGAAATAAAGTCTGTATGCTGCATTTCTTTAAAAAGATGTACAATTTCAGGTTATAGGAACTACCCCTTTCCAGGTTTTCTATATCTTACTAGGTAGCTTCCATTATCTTTTATATATGAATATCCATGGACGAAAAGATATCACTTATAAAAAAAAGCTGTCAAGGAGTTTTCAGGAAATCATTAGGGGAGATTACTCAAAAAAAAAAAAAAACTGTTGTGGCTAATGTAGAAGGGTCTAGGGATGATGCCTTCTTCAATGGTGAAGGGAGCTTTTTTCCTTGGATTACCTTGGCTACTCCCATCAAAGTTTAATTTCACGAAGTCTTTGGCTGGAGGTGTCCACAGAACCTACTCTTTTACTATTGAGGAGGAGCCTTTTGCCACTGCCTTCCAATTTCTCCATAAAACATCAAAGGACCAATAAGAGGAAGAATTCAGGGTCCTAAGCTAATGTATCACCCTCACCAATATACAATCTCTTACCTCTTCTTTACTTTTACTATTGATCCTTCCCCTCTTTTTAGGCCAAATGAAGGTAGAAGGGTCAAAAAGTTTATCTACCTCCGTTGGCAAGGACCACCTGCAATCATACAAAGAGAAAAGCCATCCCCAAATATTGAGAGATATATTGTATTTGGTTGTGTTTGGGTTGTTGGAGGTTACAGGATATAGTTGTAAAATTGATAAATTCTGGAGACCTGTATGTATTTATGGGAGAAAAGGGGGCTTATGTGCCATTCTGATATAATTTGGTCTTTTTCTTATTTAAGCTAGTGGTTGTGTGGGATTAGGGTTGAGTGAGTGTGTATGTGTGTGTGTGTGTGTGGAGGAGAGAGAGAGAGAAGAGTTGTATCTCTTGTTCTCATAGTGGATATTTTTCCTCTTCTCCCGTGGATGTAGGCTACCAAGTCAAACCACATTAAATATTGGTGTTTTCTCTATTTCTTCCTATTTTCTCCTTGATTTGCTAATTGCTATTCTGCTTTATGTTACTGTTGAAATAATTTAGTTATTTGTGTTAGGGTTTGTTTGGCTAGTTAAAGCGTTTTTTATTTTCTGTTATTTCTGTTATTGTACTCACTTACAGAAGGGGCACAAGAGTCTTTTTCCTTCTTATTTCTGCCACCCTATATAATATAATAGAAGCTGGTGCCGCTAGTACTGTTCCATTGCTCCAAACCTTTTCTTCTTCCTTTCTTTCTTCTTCCCTTCTCTTCTCTACTTCCTCGTATTTCAATCGGATTTATTGCCAAGATGGTATCAGAACAAGGCTGTTGAATTGGGCGACCAAGTTTTTCTCTTCAAGTTGCTGAATCTGGGCTGGTCAAATCAGATCTGCAACTGGTACAACCCTAAAGTTTTCTTTCTTCTTTTATTTCTTTCCTTGGTCGTGTACCAAGTGGAGAACAAATGAATCCAAACCACTGAATGTCGGCAGACTTTTGTGAGGGTTATACCTTTTTTTATTTGTTGGATAGTGTGGTCCTGTACCTGTGAAAAGGTGACTGTAGGTCATAGATGACCTGTTTTCTCTGCTCGTTAGTCTGATTTCATGTGTGTTAGGATCTCTCTTATTRRTTAATGCTGTGGTGGAACTTACTGGAAAACCAGTAGGCTGGGACTGTTCTTCATGCAGATCTGAAAATCAGTCTCATCATAGTTCTTCTTTGGAAATTGGTGCTGTATTTTGTGCTCAGATTAAGTCCAGAACTGAACTGTTGTGTGTGGAGCTTTTGTCGATATAAGGAGGGATCCTAAGTTGAGAGTTTAGATAAAAAAACTTTGTGTTTACCATGTTGTCTGAGAATTCTGCTACTTCAGATATTTCAGGGAGCCACAATGGAGTGAGTGGGGGAATGGATATGAATTTCCCCATGGCTGTTATTCCCTTTGATGGTCTGAACTACCTTGAGTGGTMTAGGGGAATAAAACTCTACATCACTGCTAGGGGGAAAATAGGATACATCAACGGGAGAGTGAAAGAACCGAAGAACGGAAGTGCTGAATATGATAGGTGGAACCAAGAGAATAGTATGGTGATGTCATGGCTCTTGGTTTCCATGCTGCCACAGATAAGGAAGACTTTTATGTGGGCTGAAATTGCTTGTGAGATATGGGAACAAGCAAAGTCCACCTATTTAAAGCAGAGACACTATGCCAAAATATACCAACTGCAAGCTGAATCCTCTACTTGCAAGCARGGGGAGAGGAGTCTCTCGATGTACTATTCTGATTTGACATCGATATGGAAAGAACTTGATCACTRYSAGAATGTGAATTGGAAGTGTGATGAAGATGCAAAGGCATATAAGTCACTTGTATCTCAGCAACGGGTCTTTGCCTTCCTCTTAGGGTTGAATCCTTCATATGAGTCCATCGGGGTGCAGATCTTGGGTAGTAAAGACTTTCCATCAGTTCAGGAGGTGTATGCCTTAGTGCAGTCAAAAGAGAGTAGAAGAAGTGTGATGAATTGTGTAGAGGGGGAGCCAGTTGCCCTAACTGTCCGGGGAAATTCAGATACAAATGTCGGAGGTGCTTTTAAGAAAGGTGACTCTCAGAAGAGAACAGATGATAAGAGTAAACTTTGGTGCACTCACTGCAGGAAGACAAGACATACTAGAGATAGATGTTGGGATCTCCATGGAAAGCCTAAATGGGCACAGGATTTGGGTAAGAAGTCAACACCTGTTCAAGGCAAGAAAACCAAGTCAGCAGAATCAGAAAAAGTATAACTCAGCTAATATGGCGTCTCTAGAGACTAGTCCATTGGTAACTCAGGAGAGGCATCCCAGTTCTGACCCTAAGGAAGAAATTATCAACTCCTTTCATGACCATTTGGAATTGTATGGTAGGACTCTCCGTTAAATGGATTCTG